CAGGCAGGTGGTGACGTGGCTGGGATTCGAACCAATGACCCTAGTACTGCCAGGTGGAATTGCTAACCATTTAGCCACTGTGCTGCCCCATTTCCATGTATGATACTAGGATGAATTCTGTATAAAAGTAGGACAGATCTAGGTATATTTTCCTGTATGACACCAGGATGGATACTATACCAATCTAAGACGGATCTAGGTTTATTTCCTTATGACACCAGGATGGATTCTATACCAAACTAAGACGGATCTAGGTTTATTTCCATATGACACCAGGATGGATCCTATACCAAACTAAGACGGATCTAGGTTTATTTCCTTATATGACACCAGGATGGATCCTATACCAAACTAAGACGGATCTAGGCTTATTTCCTATGACACCAGGATGGATCCTATACTAAGACGGATCTAGGTTTATTTCCTTATATGACACCAGGATGGATCCTATACCAAACTAAGACGGATCTAGGTTTATTTCCTTATATGACACCAGGATGGATCTAGGCTTATTTCCATGTATGACACAAGGATGGATTCTTTAAAAAGCTATTACTTATCTAGGCTTATTTCAGTGTATGACACAAGGGTGGATCCTGTATGAAACTAGGACTGACCTAGGCTTATTTCCACATGGGACACATGGCTTATTGCCATGAATGATACTAGGATGGATCTAGGCTTATTGCCATGTATGACACTAGGGAGTTACCCCTGGTTTACATCGGTGCGGGTGGTGCCGCTGCGGATCCACACAAAAATCTGTGCAGCTGCACCACCCGAACAGAGGAATACGGACCTGCGGACGGGTGTCATAAATTCTAATAGCATGCCGTCTACACTGGTAATCACAACCATACTGAAAACCAAGGTTCCCGTGTAGGCTGCGTTTTCTGAGGAAGTGCAGGGACTTCCTCCCTGCGTGTCCCAGGGCACGGGAGTCCATTCAAATGAATGTGTTCTCATGCCTGCGCAAAACACAGCCCGCAGGAACGCGGAGATGTGAACCTAGCCTTAATGTACTAAAACTGGAAATTGCAAAATCTGGTGCAGCTGTACATGGTAGCCAATCAGCTTCTAACTCCAGTTTGTTCAGTTAAGCTTTTGACAAAAACCCCCCCAAAAAACTGGCAGCTAAACTGATTTGTATGCATAGCTGCACCAGATTGTGCACTCTTCAGTTTTAGTAAATCAGGACACCCTAGGATGGGTCAAGGCTTATTTCAATGTAGGACACTAGGATGGATCCTGTATAAAGCTAGATTCACTCATATGCATTTTTAAAAATGCTCTACAGTGATTTTAACATGATTTCCTAGGAGTCACATTCACATCTGTGCATTTTTAACTGCTATGTTTTTTTTGGAAAGGGTCAGGGCCTGTTTTTTCCCACAACACATTGTGTTTTTGGTCTTCAATGGAATAGCATGAAAAACACATGAGCTGTAAGCCATAATCATCACAATTATGACAAATCACAGCTTGAACTATCTTGCTTTGCATGTAATGAGTCTATCTCATATATTAGTTTCACTTTTTAAGCTGCATTACTGAAATAAATGAACTTTTGCACGATACTCTAATTTTTCGAGTTTCACCTGTATGTGGTGTGGTATATTGCATGTGATTCACACAGGAGCTGCACCGCATTCCTGTACATATCACATGCGATTTGTGTGCGGTGCGATTGGAGCCATGCATTTTGTATGGCTCTAATTGCACCGCACCAAATAGGTGCAGGACCTTTTTTTTGGTCCGCACTAGAATCGGATCGCATGGGTATTCACACCTATGCGATCCGATTCTGCACATCGTACTGCGTTTTGCGGACCGCTTTCGGGTGTTGTTAACTTAACATACACATCCGCAGCGGTTCACATGAACAGGGTGCAATTCTGATGCGGTGTGGAATTTGCACAGAAAACACTTCAAATTTTGCACCGCATCAGTGTGAACCAGGGCAAAAGGATATATTCATTCACTTTTTTTAAAAAAAAAAAACAAATACACAGTGGCCAAATGGTTAGCACTTCTGCCTGGCAGCACTAGAGTCGTTGGTTCAAATCCCAGCCACAGCACCACCTGCCTAGAGTTTGCATGTTCTCCCTGTGCCTGTGTGGGTTTCCTCTAGGTACTCCGGTTTCCTACTGCACTCCAAAGACATGCTGGTAGGTTGATTGGATCCTGTCTAAAGTGACCCTAGTATGTGTATGTATGAATGTGAGTTAGGGACCTTAGATTGTACACCCCTTGAGGGATAGGGACTGATGTGCATGTACAATATAAATGTAAAGCACTGTGTAAATTGACAGCGCTATATAAGTACCTGATATAAAATAATAAATAATTAATTTTTGTGGGTAAATGTGCATTTATTATTTTTTTGTTTTTCCAGATCCTCTAAAGCATTGCACTAGCGATCCGCAGATCGCGGATGCCATGCAGGTCTCCTGCAGACCTGTCAGTATATCTGCTTGCTTGTACGGGATGATAGGGCAAGCAGATATACTGATAAGAAGAATCCATGAACTACCATGGCGCTCCACTTGTAGTTCATTCATTCACAGAACACCGAAAATGAACGACATAGCCGGGCGGAGCTCCGCCTGGCCACTTTTCCTTTCAATTGTGACAGCTAGCGAGGAAGAGAAGATCCCCCCCACTAGCTGTTACAACAAGGAGTGGGAGCTGGTCTGTTCTAACATGTTACACCCTGAAAATGCCTGTAACGTGTTATGAAAGGCGAACTTATCCTTTAATAGAGCTGGCTGTTTCTTTGTTTTTATTTCCATGTATGACACTAGCACAGCTCTCAACTGTATCTAATTTCGAGGGACTGTCCCTCATTCAGAACAAAATCCCTCTGTCCCTCCTTCCCAATCAGGTGTCCCTCATTTTTGTCTGATCTGTATAGTTGTATATAAAATGCACTAGTTATCTATTAAAAAGTATTTTACAGGGCTAAACCTTTCATCCAATTTCTAAATTGCTGCATTTGTAGATTTTAAAAGCCAATATAAAGGAATAGTAGTGGTTAAAAAAAAGCACTTGTGGGTTTAACCAATCTTTTTCTTCTTATATAATTTTCCTTTAAGAAGGGCGTGGCAGTGGCTGTGTCCTATGGCTACATACGTTTGCTAATAGGTGTCCTTCATTCCCATCTCAAAGTCAGGAGGTATTATTATTATTATACAGGATTTATATAACGCCAACAGTTTGCTCAGCACTTTACAATATAACGGAAGACAATACAGCAACAATACAGTTCAATACAAGAGGGATAGGAGGGCCCTGCCCCTTGGAACTTACAATCTAAGAGGTATGCACCAGCCTGGATCCTGCATACAAATAGGAATTCTAACATTTTCCTGACTTTATTATGCTGCAAGCTTGCTATCTGTCTGTCAAGCACAGCCAGTCAATTAGCCCTTGCAGAAGTAAGTCGGCAATGGCAGCCCTAGTATTTCCCACAACAGGTGCATTTTTAAGGGATAAGTTCACCTTTGGGGACATGTTACATGTTCCACCTGTTTTTAGGATGTAACATGTACCCATAGCCGCAGCTGCTGCCCATTCCCTCTGACAGATAGTATGGGGAGAAGTCTCCCCGTATTATCTGTCACATTTGAAAACAGGGTGGCCATGCAGGGCTCCACCCACTTGTCCGCATCATTCATTCATTCATGGACTTCCGTGGATGAATGAACTGCAAGTCCTTAGCGGCTGTGGGCTTGTAGTTTTCCATGAACTATGTGACGAGAGTCACTTTGGGTGGGGGGTCCATGGAACCCAGCTCATTTTGGAGAGGTGGGGAGACCCCTGTCTCAGCTCCCCATATCCCTCTTACGTGTAAATCACCCTGTGCCTGTTAGGGGTACAGGGTGATCTGTCCTAATATTGGGGTGGGGGGGTTGTTGACTGTTTGATGTTATGTGGTTGCATCCCATTGTTCTATTGTGTGTCTGGCTTGGGAGCTAACTATTATGGGATGTAGGTGTTTGTGTGTATTGGCTCAGTGGGGGTGTCTCCAGCAGCCCTCCCTCCTGATGGGACTGTCTGTTGGTGTGTCTCTTGTTACTAAATGTAGATTGCCCTCCCTGTGTCATTATGCAGAGAGGGGGGATTGTCCCCTTGAGTGTATACAGTATATCTTGTATCTGTGTTCAAATAAACTAGTCTATAAACTAGTCTACCTCCTGGTTTACTTCAAGACTGGTGTCGTCTAGTCTTGTATAGTCGGCTGTGGTGTCTGTTGTCGTGTTCGGACGCGGAAGCAGTATTCTAACGGAAGTACTCAAGCGCAGTCTGGGTTGGTTCTGTTACAAACTACCACGGTGCTCTGGTAGTTGTCAGAATATCTGCTTGGCCGTACATCCCGTACAGCAAGCAGATATTCTGACAGGTCTGCAGGAGACCTGCATGGCATCAATGATCTACTGATTGCTGGTGCAATGCTTTCCAGGCTCCTGTAGACAAAAAATGTGCATTTTATTTATTTTTTTTAAAAGGTGAACTTATCCTTTAAGGGAATTTCAATGCATAGAACTGGAGAGAAGAAAAAAAAAGCACAAAACTAGAGTTGTCGCTAAGATGCTAAGCTACTGTCGAGTAGTAGAGACCGCATGTACCTCCATTTCATGGAATAATTAATAATTGCTGAAGGAAACAAATCCAATATTGTATATGCTTTCTTTTCTCTTGTGTGTTATTGTTTTATAATAATGACTGTTATTATAATTATTGCTCAGACTTTCTTTGTTGCTCTCATGAAAATGCTAGTTTCCTGGCTGTACCTGGCTTGAATACTTCTGAGTCACAGACCTGGAGCAGATATATAGCATGAGAAAATGTAGAGTTTCTTATTATACAAATCTTGGATCAGTGACTCTGAAAACATTAACCTGACAGCCAGGCAACCAACATTTTTGGGAGACCTCAGCAATGGCCACCTACCTGTTTCTGTCCTTTAAGGCTTACTTTATTTGACTTGTGTTTTTCAGGTACTGAAGGAAGCCAGTTTGAGAGGGATTTTGTGTCTGCCCACAACACTTACAGAAAGAAGCATGGCGCGCCCCCTCTTCAGCTGAGCCGCGAGCTCTGTCGATCCGCTCAGCAATGGGCAGACCACCTGCTGTCCATCCGGACATTGAAGCACAGCGGCTCGGATCATGGAGAGAACCTGTACTACAAATACAGCTCCAGCACCAGAGAGCTGCCAGGTAACGCCAGCTAACCTCCTGCCATCTCTGCCACTAAAACTGATCTGTGCTGCCATTACTACAGTGTAGATCAAATGCTGTCAGAGGTGGCAATATCAACTTAAAGCAAGGGTAGGCAACCTTTGAGAGGTGGAGAGCTACCTGAACAACATGAAAGAGATCGAAGATCCCGGGGTTCAGCGTCATTTAAAAAAAAAAGAAATTAACTAGCAAAACCTAACTAAATTGTAAGGAAAATGTAGAAAAATCTAATAAAACAAATGTCACTGTAAAAATACAAACTTAGCCTACCTTAAAAATGGACAGCGTCAGTCAGTAGGGCAGTGGACCGGTGTCAGTAGAGCAGTGGATGGTATTAGTAGTGCAGTGGACTGTGTCAGAGCAGTGGATGGTGTCAGTCAGTAGAGCAGTGGACAGTGTCAGTCAGTAGAGAAGTGGATGGTGTAAGTCAGAGCAAGCGGATGGTGCAGTCAGCAGCAGTGGACAGTGTCAGTAGGGCATAGGTTGGTGTCAGTCAGAGTAGCGGATGGTGCCAGTCAGTAGCAAGGCAGTGGATGGTGTCAGTAGGGCATAGGTTGGTGTCAGTCAGTAGAGCAGTGGATAGTGTCATTCAGTAGAGCAGTGGACAGTGTCAGTAGGGCATAGGTTGGCAGTCAGTATAGCAGCGGATGGTGCCAGTCAGCAGGGCAGTGGATGGGTCAGTAGGGCAGAGGTTGGTGTCAGTCAGTAGAGCAGTGGACAGTGTCAGTAGGGCATAGGTTGGTGTCAGTCAGTAGAGCAGAGGGCAGTGTCAGTAGGGCAGAGGTTGGTGTCAGTAGGGCAGTGGATGGTGTCAGTAGTTTTAATTTTTACAATTTTATTTTTTATTATTTTTCACAATTTTTTTTTAGCAGCCCTGTTGAAAGGGGAGCAGATTGGGGAAGGGCCAGGCAGCAGAAAAAGGAGGAAAAAGGATGGGAGGGACACCAGGGGAGGCATTTACTAGAACCGATCCCCTGGATTTTCCTTCCTATAGCAGCTGTACGCTGGTGAGAGGGTGAGGAGGAGATGCTAGCTTTCAGCTGCTCCAGGAGGACAAGAAAGAGGGTCGGTGGCTGGGGATTGGGATTTTTCTGCCCCCCAGCTACCCTGGTGCCCTAAGGCGGTTGGCAGCCGTATGCTTAGTGTTCCAGGGTGGGGGCAGAAAAATCCCAATCCCCAGCCACTTGTTGGGAGTTCAGATTTTTTAAATACCTGTCCATGGGAGGGAAGGGGGGGGGGGAAGAGGACTCTGAAGGTGGGGGGGGGGGGGAGGGAGGGCTAGAGGTCACTACTGTGAGGGAGGGATGATATGAAGGGTGGCAGAAGACATTGCTCTGAGGGTGGCCCTTCCTATAGCAGTGTGCTCTGCACACCATCTCCCCCCCAGTAGTGTCCTCTGCCCCCCCCTTTCCCCCAGCCTCCTCCCACTGTTGCTGTCATCCTCAGTGCACAGCAGAGAGCAGCAGGCAGCACGGCTCAGGATGGAGGGTGCAAGGAGGAGCTGGCCAAAATGAACTTTTCTTATTAACAAGCTGGTAATTGGTTGCTAGGACAGACCTAACAACCAATAACCTGCGGGTTCTTATGAAACGTTCATGTCACCTTCCCTTCATTCCTCTGTCACTTGATTTGCCTGGGGAAGTGATGTATAAGGTACACCCTTGTGCTGGGGAGCACGTGGCTCCCTCCCCATCCTTGCACGTGGCTCCCTCCCCATCCTTGCACGTGGCTCCCTCCCCATCCTTGCACGTGGCTCCCTCCCCATCCTTGCACGTGGCTCCCTCCCCATCCTTGCACGTGGCAATGTTTTGTAAGCTCTAGGTTCCAACATGAAACTTACATATAGCTAGAGCTCTTTGCTCCTGTAGGCTGAACAGAGACTGATGGGGGGAGCAAGTGGGATGTAGACATAAGCTGCTGGCAAGGTTGCCATTAAAGATTGCCTTGCTATGCATGGCCACAGGTTTGAGTCTGGATGCTGTAGCACTTGTACTTAGATCTCAGCTACTTCCACCCACTGTGAAGAAGGTCCTACTATACCTGCTGCTATTCATGAGAACTCATGACAAGTAAAAGGTTGTGGTCAGACTTGGCTTACTGTGATAGTATTACCCAAGACGAAGAAAATCCAGTGGGGGGAATCAGTCTACAAGTGGACCTCCATGAGTAAAACATCACTTTTGAATGGGAATATCCTTTAAGTAGACCTGATCCTTTGCTGCATAATATTGCAATGTGGCAGGACAGTCAGCATATCTGTAAAAATGGAAAGTGCAAATCCCTTTAAATCTAAACCCTCAAATGTTTTAAATACTCCAAAACCAATCCTGTATAGGCCCCACCCCCTTTTTGTGTGCACATTACCATGGCAACAAGAACATTAGACATGGCTGGCACTGGATATATAAGAATGTTGGTTGATTAACTCTCCAGGATCTGCCAAGAACTAAGATAAAAGTTTTAGGGGATATTTCAGTATTTGGTTGTTGCTGGAGAGTAAATTAGCTGACAATTTCTTTTATCTATTTAAAGTGTTACTAAACCCACAACAGTAAAATCAGTCTGTATATGCAGTAAAGCATGCTTGTTATACTCACTGTGGAACCTAAGGGGGTTAATCCTCTGCATTGTGTAAAAAGGCTGTTTGATCCTGTCTTCTCTGATCCTCCCCTTTGTCTACTGTCCCCAATCCATCTGCTGATAGTACAGTACCTTGGGGCAAGCTGTACATGCTCAGTTTGGTGTGTATTGCTAGAGAGTTTTTTGTTTTTTTCTTGAGAGAGTGCATGTGATCAGCACAGGGCCAATCAGACAGAGGGTCAGGGGTTATGCAGCCTCATAGGACAATCATGGGAGAATAAAAATCCTCCAAGCTTTAACCAATGCTCAGCCAGCCACTGATAGAAGTCACAAGAATTCTATATACTGCTAATGTGAAAAGGTTGTTTAGCAGTTTATATTTACTAAAATAATTGCATTTCCATGTTCTGTGTACTGTGAGAGACCAGATATAGTGAACGCAGAGTGCTGAGCTTAGTAACACTTTAAGCAACCCTATTGGTGAGATCTCTGGTCTGACATCTGTTGTGACCATTATGAAAAGCACCCACTTTCCCTAACTATTTATTTTACAATATGGAGGATATTACAGGAGGAGCTGAAACTCACAAAAGTTGGCAAGGGACATCCAAATTTCTCATGAGGACAGGGACAGAGACAGGAATTAGAGGAGGGATATGTTACTGTAAGTGGATCTTACAGGGTCCAGTGCACCTAAAATATCACTTTTGGACGGACTGACCCTTTAAGCCTGCATATGCTCCAGTTTTGTTCTTGTTTGTAATATTGTGTGTCTGTGCTGTGTACAGGTTAGGGCGTGCTGCTTGTTATCATTCCGCACTGCTGACTGAACATATTTCATACAAATGTCTGGGCAGTGATACCTACAAGATTAACATTTGAACTAAACTGATTTATGACAGATGTGCAGTTTATTGTAAAACACTGATTAGCCTTCAGCAAATGGCAGATTATTAGCTGGAAAGAAGCCATTTTGCCTTCCATATTCCAGTGTCGAAAAATTCATCCAAGGCCATTGAGGCAAAACATAACTCAGATCAAACTTCAATAGCCCATGCATTCATAAGAGTGTTACATAATATAATAGCAATTTATTAATTCAGAATATACAGAATTCTGAGAGTTGGTATAGCAGAGAAGAATCACTGAATTTTGCTGCAGAAGTGGACTTTAACACTGACAAATCCCACCTGGAAGAAAAATATATTTGAAATATATTTTAAAATATTTTTCCCAAATATATTGACATATATATTTGAAATACTACAATTATGGCCATATTCAATTATATATATATATATATATATATATATATATATATATACATACATACACACACACACACATATATACATATACATACATACATACATACATACATACATACATACATACACACACACTGCATGTTGAAATGCGTTTTTATTACAAAATATATGAAAAATATATTTTAAAAAATATGTATTCTTTAGATTTTTTTAACATATAAAAAAGCCATTTTAACACATTTTTACATATATTTGTATTTTTAAAGACATACAGTATATTTGAAATGTATTTTTAAAAATATTTTTTATATATTTTGTAATAAAAACACATCTCCACATACAGTGTGTGTGTGTGTGTGTGTATGTATGTATATATATATATTGAATATGGCCAAAATTGTACTATTTCAAATATATGTCAATAGATTTGGGAAGAATATTTTGAAATATATTGAATTTGATCAAAATTGCAGTATTTCAAATATATGTCAATATATTTGGGAAGAATATTTTGAAATATATTGAATATGGCCAAAATTGTAGTATTTCAAATATATGTCAATATGTTTGGGAAGAATATTTTTAAAATATATTTCAAATATATTTTTTTTCCATATGGGGCAACCTGGCCTTTTTATCCTTGGAGAAAAATTGGTTGTCAGCTTAAAATTTCCATCTACAAAATGAACTGTTTCTGTCCAGTGGGGGGCACTGTTTTTAGACCCCCCCCCCCCCTGTCTTTCGGCCCAGTTTTTCCATAGAAGGAAACTACTGGCTGCCGCTTTGTTGCCTCCTTTTGCCAGTGTTGGCGGTACATGTAGAACAGATCTTGGACTTTTATGTACCAGCTTTCTCTTTTAAAGATTATATATGCCTAAGTGCCCGGTTATACCGGTGCAATTTGCGAATTGAAATCTCACCTGAATTAATGTGAATATCAGTGTCTTAACATGTGCAATTTGCTGCAGTGCGATTTCTAAAGTAGTTCTTGCATTACCTTTTATGCAGTTTATTGCGATTTCACTTACAAAGAAAATAATAGAAATCACAATGAAATCGCAATAAATCGTTGAAAATCTTCAGAAATTGCACCTGAAATTGTGCACAAATCATGCGATTTTAAATCACAGT